AGATTTTTAAAAAATGATACTATTTTTCTGCAAATAGAAGGCAAAGAGTTCGTATGATTTTAGCACCAAAGCATTTTTTATGACGTAAGCCAACCAAAATTTACGTTGAAAACATAGTTATAAGGTATTCGCTGCTCCTGTCCCCACCAAAGATGTACCTCGTCTTGAGAATGAACATTTACTTTCTCTTGGTGTATGAATTTGTGCCAGTCTGAATTCAGAAGACGGCTGGAGTTTTTCTCTGATACAAGTGACTCTGAGCCAGATTTCCTCCAGGAAGCATGACAAGAAAACATTTGGGAGGGTCCTTAGCAGGAAAGTCCCCCTGGGTGATGGACTGAGTTCTGGTGTGGAGACAAGATGCGGAAATCTGGGTTCTCCTCCCAGCTCTGCCCTTTTCTCTGTGAACCTGTGCAAGGCATTTGATTTAATGGTAGGACGTAAAATACATGCATGTAACTCCCAGCCCAAGCCTGGCACACAGTAGCAGCTCAGTAACAATCAGTTTCCCTTGAGCCAGCCAAGAGTAAGACAGAGCAGAACAGAAAGGGAATCCTAAAAAAACACAGCTAAAAAAAAAAAAAAAAGCCTCTGTAGCATAAGACTCAGTCTGCAGAATAGGCCTTCTAGAACTGGTGCGCTTATTAAACGGGCAGGAAATCACTTATGAAGTAAGGATTTTATGCTGGGGAACAACAGAAGCATTTAGTACTATCACAACACTACACAGATAGCAGTTTCTAGAAAATATAAATAAAAAATTATTTATATTTTCCCACCCCAATTCTTCAGAAAACTCTTGTTTTCACCCAATTCTGTCATTTTCTCACTAGAGAGGGCTGCTTCAAAACAAAACACAAATGTTATCAGTGGTTGAAGTTCACCCAACTAGACTCTACCTTCAGACCAGATGCAATAGTCCATCCTCTAAAGAGAAGAACACACAGGTCTGAGCTTGGGGCCCGGGAGAAAACAGGAGACAGAGGAATGAAAAAAATCTGAAGCTCAGAATAATGAAAAAACCAACACTGAAGCAAAAGCACAGGTGAAATAAAAGGTGTGTCGGGGTGCTCCCCAGGCACTGCAGTTGTGAGTGTTAGATATGTGAAGGTGAATGGGAACGCAGTTGAGTTCAGGAAAGGCAGGATGACAACATGAGTTCTAATATAAACTGAAACTTTAGGCTGTGCATACATGGGCATTCAGTGTATTTTGGTTGTGTAAAATGTGAGACATTTACCAAACTTTGGAAAGAAGCTGACTGCAAAAGATCGTTTAAAAAAAAAAAGAAGACACTGAATTCCCAATTAGTAGCCATGTTCATGGCAGTGGGCATCTGAGAAGCCTTTTCTTCATACACAAAAGGAAGCATTGGTAGATGAAGGCAGTACATGGACGTCGTGTTCCACGTGGTGTAAGGGGTTAGCTCAAGATTCTGGGTGAGTCAGACTGAGGACAGATTCTGCCTGCAGCCAATCCTGTCAGGATTGGAGGTTTGACCTGGGTTGACTTGGCTTTTTCCCATGGTCCCAACCTGCTTTCATCTGGTTTTGGGGCACAGAAGAGCCAAATATTTATAAGTGTGGAGGGAACAGGGCAAATCCATCACTACCACAAGAAAACCAACCTAAAGCATGTAGGTCGCTAATGTCATCTACATGTAATGGAGGGTGGCAGTTTTCCATGACTGTCAAGAGACCAGATGGGAGAGCACCACAGATGGCTCCAAGTTGGAGCAAAATAGATTGATATGTCACATGTAGGATCCCAGCTCCATGCGTTGGGCCCATAAGTGGCTGACTTATTTATTTTTACCAAGCTCTAGTCTGAAACTAACTTGATTCAGCTCCAGAGCAGTGGGCAGAGATGACACGGAGTCCACTCTTACCCCACGTTCTTCCCTTTCACTAATGATTAAATACCCCATGCTATTATACTTGGCAGTCTGTATGCAAATGGAGGCAGGAGATCTGCAGCTCATTTCGGAAAGGGACAGGGCTTGGAGCATACAGAGGACAGCCCCAAGCTGAGGCTGATAACATGGCCTTGTCCAGAACAGTGCATGGGAGCTTTCTTATCTTGCTTTGGCAGGAGGTGCTGTGGGCTTCCTGTACGAAATCAGGAGCGAACGCTGCTTTCCTCTTGTTGTTCGGCTTCCTCCCCCCTCAAGACGGTTCCCAGCACAGCCATTATCTTTGCATCTTCCAACATGGCACAATCCACTTCCTTAAGAGCTTGATGTATTCTTAAGGCTTAGGCAAACCCCCCTCCCCCTAAATCTCTTTTCAAGTACTGTTATAGAGTCAGGCTCCTAAATGACATTCTATTTTTATGGTTCCAATTACAAAGAGGGAAAAATAACAGCCCTTAAATTAGAAAAGAGCCACTGAATCTGTCCTTGTCATTTGGAGGACCTGGCAGTAAGTCGGGCCTATGGTTTCCATACTAGGCCTGTGTGGTTAGGAACTGCCCTAAGAGGCAGGAGAAGGGGGAAGGAGAGGGTCAGAGGCCGACAGCCCCAAGTGAACTCAGACAGCAGACTACATTTCCCTTGGGAAATGCCTAGACTTGCTTTACTCTAACATACTTCTTTGCGTTTCCTGAAGACGAAGTGTAAGAAATTGACTAAGGCCTCCTTTATCTTTTTTCATTGCTTTAGGGGGAAAAGCAAGAGATCTAATGCTTTCTTTTCCAGGTATAAGAAAACCTCAGTTTTCTGATGTCACAGTCACAAGTGCACACACACACTCAAGTGCTAATGCAAGTGTACACCTGTGCAAACATATAGATTACATATACTCGTTTAAGCATAGAGGTTGTGGAAAGATCAGGAGCTCACCAGTAGTTCAAGGTATGGATATTAAAGTCTGCAAAACAAAATACTGATCGTGAACAACAGGGCGAAGTCACTTTCATACAACCATTTTGAAACTTTAACATTTCAATGGCTCCTGTAGAAGAGAAAGTATATAATTTCTCACCTGTAATCTCAACTACTCAGAAGGTGGTGATCAGGAAGATCTCAGTTTGAAGCTAGCCTGGAGAGACCTCATCTCAATGAATAAACCAGGCCTGGTGGCATGTGCATGTCATGCCAGCTATTCAGCAGGCCATAGGTAGAAAGACTGGTCTGAGGCCAGCCCTAGGCAAAAAACATGAGACTCTACATGAAAAAATAACCAAAGCAAAAATAGGCTAGCAGTGTGGCTCAGGTAGTAGAGGCTTGTCTTGCAAGCACAAGACACTCCACTCCCACCACCACCACCAAAAAAAAGAAACTGCATTTTTTTGGAATACTCATTGAAGCATTCAGGGCTAAAATCTGGGATTTGCTAGCCAAGTGCTCCTACTGCTTGAGCCACTCCGCCAGTCCAGGGATTTGCTATAAAAGCCTTTGAAAAAGAAATAATAAATACATGAAGCAAATATGGCAAAAATCCTAATAACTATAAAGTTGAGGTGATGGGAAATGGGGATAGCTCTGTGGTAGAGCACTGCTTAACACACCCAAGGCCCCGGGTTCCATCCCCAGCACCACTACAAAAAAGTCTGGGTGATAAGAATGTTCTGGCTTATTACACAGTGACCTGTACTTATCAGGTGTTTGAAAATAATAATGAAACTCTTCCTAGAAATGTAATGCTTCAGCACCTCATGCCTATCTGTGTGTTTATTAGAATTCACGGAGTGCTGATTGCATGGTAGGCCTTTGCTGAGCTTGAAGACAGGGCGAATAAACAGATGTGACCACTGTCCCTTGTCACTATTGGCCCCATGAGATGTCAGATGCAGTAAGTGGACACTAGGAAGGTGGAGAGAATGCTACAGAAGGATGTTCTGAGGTGTGTAACAGAGATAAACCCAGCAAACTGGACCGAGTAACATTCTGGGGGCCCGTCTCAACCCAAGGACCATAGAGGAGTAAAACAGAGCTTTTCTGATGCCTACAATCCCCTCCATCCCACCTTCTCCTTACCTGCCGTGTCCTGCTTTCATTTCGCACAAGTCCTCACTGCTGTTGGCTGCTGCAGATCAGCCACTCATTCTTTCTAGAAATTGGTTTTTACAATTCTTCCTGGAATCTACCTGAGACATGTATAAATTCAAGACCGGCAAGATTTTTGATCACCAAAAGTTGTAGTTCAGAAGGTAAGAATACAAATGATGAAATGTTTTAAAAAGGAAAGCGATCTCACAGACTTTAAAGATAAACAACACCAGCACCCTCATTTTACAAATAAACACTTGAGGCCTAAGAAGTTAAAGATCTTGCTAACACGCCCCAAAATGTGAAAAGAAGTAGCCTGACTTTAATAACCACTCCATATGCACCTAATTCACCCCTGAAAAAGTCGGCTGTACCATGGAATATTCTGAGTAAAAGCCAGCCTCTCTACAGTGAAATGCTATAATTTTTCAGGATTTCCATTTCATTAACATAACTTCATTTCCTCCCTCCATGTTTGCATGTTACCTCTGCTAAGGACGAATTAAATCTAGACATTAAATTTCCTAAGTTATACATTTTCCTTTAATATTTAGAACAGGAAGGATGGGTGGCTGAACATTCTTGGGATTATTTTCATATCAGGCAAATATATTCGCTGTTTTTTAGTTCTGAGCATTAATATAGAGGAAACAATCTAAGGAAAAGATAACTGGCATAAACTTTGTGACCTATTTTTTGTCTGTAGGTTTGAACTTGCTTCATGCTTGCAATGCAGGTACTATGCCACTTGAACTACCCACCAATCTATTTTTACATGGCTATTTTGGAGATGAGGTCTTGTGAACTATTTCCCCTGGCTGGCCTCACACCTCATTCCTCCTGATCTCAGCCTCCCAAGCAGCTGGGATTACAGATGTGAGCCAGCAGTACCTGCAAATTGGTGATTTTCTTATCTGAGGACTTTTCCATTGGTTTTTATCTCACCTGTCACGATTAACTAAAGCATCTGCAAAAATTGGGATGCCTTACTTTTTTTTTTTTTTTTAAATAGGTCTGATGTTTGCTCCAATAATGAAGAGTCCTTCATCCTGCAACCTGACGGCAACATAGGAAACAGAATTGAGAGCATCACTCAGCGCATGGCGGTAATAGAAGGAACAAATAAGGTACTGTTTATAAAAATGAGAGGAACAAATAAGGTACTGTTTATAAAAATGAGCATTGGGATAGTCTAAAAATGCACTCTCAGCTCCTGGTTCTAGGTTTATTGGAACCAGAAGTAATTCAAGTGCTCAAACAAAATTCAGAGAGAGGAAAGACAATATCTGAGATATGTCTTCATGGAGAGATATGTTAAGATTGTTTCAGCTGCTGTAGTCACCAACTATATTCTCCAGTTCCCAGAAAAGGAGGCTTGTCCTGCATGAACAGGTGGAGCTGTCCTCTTGGGCGTCAAGCTGGTCCACTGATGTGGATCGGTGGTCCTCCATTCCGGCTGCATATTAGAATCCTCTGTCAATTAACATCCCATCCCTATCTTTGGGGTCAACTCCAGGGCCCATAAAAGTTACCCAGATGATTGTAGCCTGTAACCAGGTCTGAGAATCACTGATATACATTAAGTAAGATCCAAGTAAGCAAAGCTAGCACAAGACTTAAACATTCCGTTTCACAAAATGCCATCCCCTCCTAACCCCATCTTCATTAGGGGAAAGCCTCGATTGAGGCACATGCAGTCTCTCAGGATTCCTCAGCCTAATGTGGTCCAGCATGCCTTTCCCCCTGCCCTGCCACTCTGGCGCCATTCATCTGTGACTCCCCTAATTCACCCTGAGTCTCAACAGTAGCTGACACCTTGTGAACCAGACGAGTCTCTGGACCACAGTCCTAGGGCTCTTTCCCTGTTGAGTTAGGGAAGACACACTTACCAAACTGCCACTGTCAGGCACAGGGATAGAGACGCTTTAAACAAGAAAAACAAAAGTCAAATAATCCCATGCTGAAATGTCTATTTACTCATGTATACCTTGATTTGGAGTAGAGATTGTTAATACAGACACCACTGTCTGCTTGGTGTGGTTATGTTTACCTATTTATCCAGCTGTATTCTTTGCATTAAGAGGAAAAATTAGATGGCATCATTCTTCAGGTAGGATTTAATGATGATAACAAATAACATCTGTATTTTTCATTATGTAAAACCTTTTGACATATGCTAATGTCACCAACAGTCTTTGGCAAGTCAGAGTGGTTTTCTCCATTTTAAAGATAAGAAAAACCAGGATAAGATGGTTATCTGAAGCCACATAACTTCAAAGGGTAAATGAGAAACTCAAACCAAAGTCTCCTTATTCAAAACCACAGTGCCCTCATGGCCGACTAAGCCAATAGAGAAGCCAGTTAAAGTGGCCGTGGTAATATGACATCAACAGTCAGTTGTCAAGGATTTAAAAACAGTTTTTACAACTAAACAGTAACTATAGTGGTTGATAACTCTTTTTCTGTAATACTAATGAGTGGGAATTGAAAAACATTCCATGATGTATAGTTATTGAAGAGAGAGTTTAACGAAATACTTAAATAAAAAGAAATTCTATAAACTTGAAAGTGTAATTTGGGTGATGCTACATTTTGGAGGGGGGAGAAAATTGTCTATTTATGAGTAGACAGAACATTAGTTGTCAAAGAGTACTAGGGAAATTTCCAGATGACATCAGTAAAATCTGTTCATTTTGTCCTGTCCTGACCTAATCAAGTGGATGTAGTGTTTTTCCCTGTTGAATTAGGGAAGGATATACTTATGAATCTGCCATTGCCAGACACAGGGATAGCAATGCTTTAAAAAAAAGAAAGAAAGAAAAATCAAATAACCCCTTGCTGAAATGCCTGTTTACACATGCATACCTTGAATTGGTGTAGAGCTCGCTAAATGCTAGATATTTAAAACAAGAATTTATGAGTATTGTTTCAGTGGAACTTCTACTCTTATTTTGGTATCTTATCCACAGAAATATACAATAGGAAATAAAATGGAAAAGGAGAAAGCTCAGTGAGATTTTCTGATTAGTTTGAACTATGAACTAGCAACCCAACTCCATAAGTAATACCCGTAAAAAAATGGAGGGAGTAACAAAACTTGGGTGAGATCAAATAACTTCCCCAATTTTCTCATTTTGGCTTGAAACAAATATATTGTCTTGTAATTTTATAGTGACAGCAAAAGATTTAAAGTAATGGACTTCTGGGCACAGTTGGCACTCTTACCACCTGACGTGCATTCAGGAGTGCCGGGTTCAAGTTCTGTCCCTTTCTATCTGTATAACCACATGCAAATCAGTTCACATCTCTCAACCAAGGTTCTGTACTCTGCACAGATGTAAGCTAATGATATTTGCCCTATCTAGCTTCCCCTTATAAAGATGAAATGAAATAACTTTATAAGAAAGCCCTCTACGAGTAAAATGACTGCCGTGTCTACCTAATGAAATTCCCCACTAATGGCAATCATATATGAGAAACAATTTTAAAAAATCTTTTAAGACTTTTTTCTAAACAAAGTGGAAATATGCATAGGGTGTATTAGACTTAAATAAGTTACTGATTTCACGTTCTGAATTTAGGAGAATTTACTATTTTACTTATCTTTCATGTGAACAAAAGGTATCTTTCATATGACTGGGGCAAGTGGAAGTTCTGCTATTTCCAAATTATAGCATTTTCTTTCAATTAAAATGTTCTTTTTTTTTTTCCTGTACATTTTTAGAAAGTAAATTAAAGTCTCAACCACACTGGTCCCCTGAAAGCTACCCTGTGGATCAGGGTCACAGTGCTCACTAAGGCACTTGTTGAATTTCAGGAATTCAGAATTTTGGGGAGGGGGTTAGCTTGGCCTTTTCTTTGTTTTGTTTTGTTGTTTAATTCAATGAAGGGTATAGAGGGAAATAAAATTCAACTTCCTTAATGGCAAATTTTGGCCCAGATTTGTGAAACGTGAGTCATCAATTGGAGTTGATAACAGCAGATGAGGAACTTTCGTATTGCTTAAGTGAGTTGCCAGATTCTTGGGTTTGTGGACATGGAATAGGAAGTCGAAGGAACCACGTGTTAGAAAAACACACAGGAAAGAGGAATTACAGCATTAATTCTGGAAGGCTGGAGAATCGTGACAATTTTAATATTGTAGCAATATTTCTATTGAAAGTGTGTGTCTTGCTGGGGACAGAACCCAGGGCATGGGGATATGTGGGACAAATCCATGGCAGAAGCAATCATACTACCCAGAGAACTCCAGCTTTGTTTCAGTTTTCTCTAATTCTCATGCTCTCTTTCCCCATCAATTGGCTCTAACGTGCCACCCTACGTTAATTTTAGGTTCTTCCACATCCTTTATGCCTTTACTTTTATTTCTCCTTGAAATACTGTAGTAAACTATATTAGAAACATCCAAAGATTAAAATTACCATTCCATATGTAGACTTAAAAAAAAAAAAACAAAAAACTACTGGAAATTAGGCTGAATGACACATCAACCTATTCATTCTATTCCATGAGCTTCAAATGACATTGTAGAAGTGAATTACTAATGCTTAGCAAAAGGGGAGGAAGGAAAGAACATGAAGAAATCCAAACTTACAGTACATGAAAACAACAGTTTTCATGAATGTTCCTGGGTCATAGAAAAAAACTCAGAGAATGGCAGTGAAAAAGTGAGTCATTAAGAGTATAGAAATACAGTAGGTCAGAAACCTCACTGAAAAGTTGCCTATCCCAAACTAGTTCATTAACAGAATTGAGGTGTGTGTGTGTGTGTCTTGCTGGGGATGGAACCCAGGGCCTTGTACATGCTACAAAAGGGCTGTTCCACTAAACCATATCCACAGTCCTTGGATTTTTGAGATTGGGTCTTGCTATGTAGTCCAGGCTGGCCTTGAACTCATGACCCTCCTGCCTCTACCTCCTGAGTGCTGGGATGACAGAATGCATCACTACACCTGGCTTGAATTTTTTAAATGTTGTAAATTGATGTGTTTTTCCTATATAATGAGTCGCTATGAATTTTAAGTAGATATAAAAGAATGTCACCCCTTATCTTCTGATAGGAACTGGGAAATCCTAATTTTATTTTAGCACTTTTGCTTTCTTTCTGTTCCTCAGTACTCTTTCACTTATTTTCAATTGTGGAGAATGAAAATGAATTATAGAACTAATACAAGCAGATAGCCTTGAGACTTCCTTTTGGTGTGTCCTGTACAAGAAATGACTATTTCAAATGTCTGTGAGCGCTCAAACCCTTGGCACTTTCTCTTTGAAAGCACTCAAGGTGATATTTGGTGCTCCAGCTGTTATGCTGCATTGAGTTTTTTCTTTTGAAGCAATAGAGTTTGGTTATGAGCACTGGGACAGCTCTGTCCCTTTAACACAGAAGACTCAGTCATGGGAAGTCATCTCCCAGTCCCACCAAACAACACTCACTCGCCACTCATGCTTGAGCTCCTTTCTGACCTTACACAGTATGCTTGTGTACGTATGCTTGTCAAATATCTTTTCGTTTTATGAAAATATGTTTACATTTATAATACTATAAATTTAAATATTTTCCGGAAGAAAGTACTCTGGAAATACTCTTTAATAAGGTTAAGTTTTACCATATTATAAAATTTTCTTCTTTAGTGATAACCTCATTCATCAATCATGTTTTCAAATCACACATTGTATCAGTTGAAAAACAGCTTGCAGCTTATGTCAAACGTGGTCAAAGAAGGAAACCTGCATTTCTGTTCATAGTGGCTTTTAGTTTATGTGACTCATCACTGCTGATTAAAGCAGGTCTCCTCCAGGAGAAACCCAATCAAAGAGTAGATAGAACTGTACCTCCAGATCTATGCTATTCAGTGTAGGGTTTCAATGGGAAAAACAATTTGGGGTAGCAACTGAGAGCACAGGCCTTGGAGTTACCACGCAGGGCAGGTGTTCTGCCCAGGCTGATGGGCGAATCACTTAATCTCTATAACCATCAGTTACCTCATCTGCAGAATGGGGTACTACAGCCATCTCATAGGGATGCAGGGAGGATTAGATGAAGTGATGCTTGTGCAGTGTCGTGTACACTGTCCAATGTGTAGCCAGAGCTTCATAAAAGTCCCCCGAAACAGAAATAATGTGTGTGCCCATCAATATTGCTAATGCAACAGTTGTGGGTTAAACTTGAGAGTGCTCAACATTTTGTCTAATATTGTGAATTTTTTTTTCTTCAAAAGATGCAGTGCTAATGTTTAAGCTATGTAAATTTTTGTTCTTTTTTTTTTTTTTAGACATCACAGTTTGAAAAGTGCTTTTAGGTTCACCTACACTTTGACGACTGTTTTTTTAGGGACAACATTGTCAAGCAGCAGCAGTAAAATCTAGTGAAACAGCATTGTATTTAATTCACAATTTATAGCTGCATTTTCTAAATGATAATTTGAAGGTCATTAGATAACTTATAAACACACACAACAATCTTAGTGAGCTTTTCAGCCTCCTGTCTCCTTCGGGACCATTGCAGGCTGCATGTCCCATTCTCTGAGCCCTTCAACAAATGGTTCAGCCACACTGTCCTCTGTCCTTGCTCACTTAACATGCCCACTAAAACCAAACAGCACACATGCTTCCTGCTTCCCCTGGCACCATGCCCTCAGGTCACTCAAACAAGGGTGGACCTCGGCCTCACCTGCTCCTCTCATTGATATGGGTGACCACCTCATGGGGGGGACGTGCAGTCCCACAGCTAGGCCTTAGGTCTCTAATTGTGAGGCCAGCAGCATGAGATAAGCTTGAAACCCTCAGAGGAGTCAGATGTCATGGGCCCCGGTCTCCTAAGGACCTGCTTTCCTGTTATTTTTCCATTCTTACTGGGGCTCAACAAGGGGAGAACTTTGGTAGCCACCACCAATGCAGTACTGTCGTTAGTGAATGAATGAAAGAGCTGAATCATTTCAGCTTGCAGATGTCGCTTAGGGATGTTCAAATCCTTCTTTGTCCTATTGCTAGCTAAAGTTTCTTTTTCTTTTGCAGATGGCTAGCTCCTTGGTTGTGGCTGACTCTAGAATATCTGGGATTTACAGTTGCATGGCTTTCAATAAAATAGGGACTGTGGAAAGAAACATAAGCTTTTATGTCACAGGTAAGCACACATCCTATCCCCACTAAGACAGCCTGGTGACCTCAGACTCTTCAACCCTGTTTGCTTTTAGTGCACTTATAGCTTGAGTGATGTTTTTGTCAACCTTTGAGTACCTTCATCCTTGCTCTCAAGACTAGAATTCTACATCATCACTGGCTCTGCTAAAGACTTATTTCCCTGAATTCTCTTTTCGAGTTATTTGTGTATGTCTCCTTCCCAGACTGGATTATAAGGCTGAGATCTCATATGCTCACTTTTGAACTCCCTTCAGCACCCAGCACAGAGTCTGGCACAGGGTAGTTGTTCAATAGCAATCCAGGAAACCAAGTAATGTGTATGGTAACGCAGTACTCCTTTTAACCTCAAAGTGAATTGTTTAAGAATTGAGATCCTGGCAAATGACACTGTCCTATAGAAATCTGAAACTGAGCTTTCTAAACAATAACTAGTGAGCTATTTGGGGGCATTTAAGAATTTTTCATTTTAAATATGATGGTCTCTCCAAATCTTAAAACCTCCAAGGTATACAAATGGCACTCCCTATGCTCCTCAATGGATACAGGAAGGAAATAAGTAGCTCAAAGTATAAAAACAATTGCCTGGCTCCACATTCCCCCAATTTCTGAGGAAACCTGGGCCACCTGCCAGCTCTCTGGAAACTTTGCACTGCATGGGGCAGGCTGCAGACGTTGCCTAGAAGTCTCCAGAAAGAAACAGCCAGGACTAATTTCATGAAATGGTTGGCTTGTCAGATGATGAGAGACTTTTGGCAAGTGAGCCAAGCCCCAGTTTCTCTGGCCATGGGAGACATCCTGGAGGAGATTCTCACAGAAGGTCAGAGCTAGAAGCCCTCAGACAGGCAGTTTAGCATTCCAGCTCCCACATCCCCCAGAGGAGAAAAGCAGGACCTGGAAAGGTGAGCAGGAAGGTAGTTCAGTCTAGATCAAGGCAGTCCCTCTCGTCTCACCTGACGGAAGTGGAAGGAAAGCACCTTTGCCACCATTCCAAGTAGGAGAGGCCTTTCCTTAGGAAGGTCAGACAGAGGCTCTCACAGATTGGTTCTTAAGGAAATCCAGATGATTTGGACTAATTAAAGGCAAGCATTCATATTATTCTTCATGGCCATAGTCTCTGTATGTATGACTTAGAATACAAAAGAAAGAGCAGTTCTGCTCTGTTCTGAACATTCAACAAATTTGCAGCAGTTTAATGGGCACTAACTATTAGGCAGCATAATCAACGCTGCACTGGAAAGGCTGTTGACGCAGCCCTGTCTTTCTAGTGAGATAGTTCAAACACCAAGGAGATGAAGAAATGCTAAGTGACACATCTCCTAGCATCAAAATGTGTATAGAAGTAATGTGACAGAAGAATTTGTTCTTTAGCACCATCACTGTCTAATAGACATAAGTCACATACGTAACTTAAGCTTTTCTAGTAAGCATGTTTAGAGAGTGAAGATATTTTTATTTAATCCACTATATCCAAAATATTATAGCGACAGTGTGGAGTTAACATTTTGGGGTGTGTGTGCTGGTGATTGAACCCAGGACCTGGCCCACTGAACCCACCTTGCTCTACCACTGAGGTACACCCAGCCCAGATGTACCTCAACATCTTAAAAATAGTACTTCAGTTTTTAAATCTTAATCAGTTGAAATAAATAAATGGGATAAATAAATAAATGGCTTGTCACACAAGCCACATATCAAGTGCTCGAAAGCCACATGTGACTAATGAGTACCTAGTTGGATAGTGTAGCTGAGGGCCTCTGAGAAAGAAACAGAACTGAGGGGCTCTGGGCGGAGGTAGCATTTGAACTTGAACAGGTAGAGAGAAGAGGCCAGGCTTGCTTGACATTTTCAGAGCCAAGGTAAAAGTGCCAGTGGAGGCCCACAAATCCTTCAGCTAAGTCTGACAAGTTCTAAGTCAAGACAGCAAGCTGTTACATATGTTTCAGCTTCTAGGACAAATGCACCTTCATGAGGGCCTGACAGACCAGCATGAGTGTAGATTCCTGGGACTATTCCGGGGCGCAGAGTGAACCGCAACAGCAGCTGGCGGAACAGAAGACCTGGCTCCCTGCTCACACTGTCCCTTCTGTGAGGGACTGTGCACGTGTGGGGTCTCTCCAGCCCACACAGCCTCCCAGCCAGGCCCTTCACAAAGAGTCTTTCCTTGGCCATGTCTCAGGTTGACCTAGAGATGTGCACACCGTGAAAGCAGTCTGATCTCAGAAGGCCAGACCTCCAGAAGAGAAAGAGCCAACCTAAAAGCAGATTTGGGATCAACTTTTTTGGGATTCTGGGGTCCCAAACACCCCAAGCATGATAGAGGAATGGAGTGACATATGCTCTGAGTGGATATGCTTCTTTGGTCCCACAGATTTCACGTTGTAGGGAGGGGTCCATCCAGAACAGAGCCACGTAAAGACGCAGGAAAGGAACCGTTTGTACCTGGGGAAGGATGTGCTAGTAGTAGTGGAGGGGCCGGACACAATCCCTTCCTTCAGATATGCCTGCTGGAGATGCTTACAGCACTTTTCCTCTAGAAATTCAAGAGCTTTTATCTCCAAACTGAGCACAAGTTCAGTTAATCCAGCCCCTCCCCACACTGTCTAGACAACACTTTTTCGGAATAATTCTTTTCTATCAGTCCTGAAAAGTTTTAGTTTGGATTGGTGATAGATTAACTTGCTTAGATTCACTGTTTATTTTTCTAGCTAATTATTTTATTCTTAGTAAAGACGAACTACTCCTAGGAATTTCGCACCTTCCATGTCTATTTTCTGAGAAAAAAAAATATATTCAGTATTTAAGCTTGACTCGGTGAGAGTAGTGCTTTAAAAGTGGCTGTCTGAAATGTTAATGCTCTAAAGATTTAGGCTTGGACTTTTATTATTCTCACTTCAATTATGTTGACCTTTCTTAAAATACCGTAACTAGCCAGACATTGTGGTACACACTTATAATCCCAGCACTGCAGAGCCTGAGGCAGGAAGATTGTGAGTTTGAGGCCACTTTAGGCCACCCAGTGAGACCAGGTCTCCAAGAACCCAGAAACTTTGCCTTCTAAATTGATGAAAATTAGTTATCGTGGACACTAGCATCCTTGTCAGCCTTGCCACCTAACTGAGGTACTCATTTGTAGGTGGCAGCTACTTGAAACAAGTAAAGCTTTCTAGCAGCCATTCGCTTTGAGAGATTGTTATTTCCCTTCTTCAGTGGAGATCAAACCTTCTATATTTCCACCTGCAAATGAGATCTCACTCATCCTTCTAAGTGTCTGTGCTTGTCTCTTTTGCAAGCTTAATCCACGTGTCTAACACAATGAAATCAAAGTGTGCACCTTTACAAAGAGATTCAGTTGAAAGTCTCTTCTGAGCAAGGGTTGGTTCTTCTCCCTGACACCTCATAAGACTCTCTGGAGGTGACAGATGTTAGATAGATGTTATTTGGTTGATGACAACGATGACTTTGCTGGATATACCACAGATACTGAAGTGTGGGAAGATTTCTTGTTTTCACTTGAAGGGTTAGAAGGCAATTTTTTCTTGGGTCTGTTTTTATACTCGGGTTTAAAAAAAAATCAACTTGAATTAAGGAGAAAATCCCTCTGGGTTAATTACACAGTTGAGGACATTTTATTTATCGCCAATCTCTCATGGATCAAAAGAGAATAAATAATCCTAAGAGGCTATCTGATGACTTCAACCAAATTAGCTTTAGTGACTGCCCCCACACAGGGGATGGGCCTCAGGACAGATTTGCTTCTTTTCTTTCCCTCTGTGTGTGTTTTTGCAGTTTCGCTAGCACTCAGCATGACCATGGGTGTGTGAGCAATTACTGAGGGTGAAACAGGAACGGCGCTGCCTTATCTCCCTCATTTCCCAATGTCACTAAATGCATTTTATTTTGAGATTCCTGGTGGTGCTTGGCAAAGATAAACAAAATCTTCCATCAGGAAACCTGTGAGCTATTTCCACAGGAAGTTTCAAATCACTAAAGTAAACAGAAACTCTCTACACGATCTCAGTGGTACTGGGTTCTAACCATGGGGACGAGACCTCGTAAATGGAAAGTCTGCGATCTTTTAAGAAATAATCCAATGGCAGCCAGTGCACAGAACCTCTGCTCCAATATCTGTGTGGAAGTCAGTGGCTTATGTTTTACTCCTCAGACTTGGAAAGTGTCCAAAACGCAAAACAGATGCTGAATTAAAACAGCTATTCCTGATGCTTTATTGCTAGGTTAAAAATGACTATCAACTTCTTCTGTATCTTCTGGCACATTCCTGAATTTCCATTATAAGGCAGGGAAACCTCCACTGGTCCCCTGTCCTCAGCCACTGACAGCTTCATAAGCCACTCTACCCCCTGCTTCCAGGTTTCAAATGAATATTTTGGCATTTCTTCAGACGTGACACTTTAATAATGAAGTCAAAGCCAGAAAAATCAGAAAAACAAGCAAAGTGAGATTTAGGAAAGAGTTGATATGATATCTAATTTTGGACTATTGTCCCCTTAAGGTTTAAAGGTTTCTTTATAGTTTGTGTGCAAAGGATAATAATAATAATAATAGCTTTTCATCTTCAAAGCACTTTGTGAAATGTTGGCCCAAACCCTTTGCTCAAATATAGATACACCAGTCGTAACAAGCACTAAAGGTTGGAGCATGAGTCCATTCAGGGCCAATAGCCAATGAGTTTTTAAAGTCCTCCAGTGAAAATGGTCCAAAGCGACACCAAGGAACTCACAGCCCAACACCTAAATGATGGTGCTGTTAGGAGTGCCGAGCAGGCAAGCACATAGCTCGTTGTTAGAGGTGGAGATGAGAGGAAGGTGAGCTGGGAAGTGACATTGGACACGATGGCTTTTAATGCCAGTCGCCTTCAGAAAATGTTTAAACTGGTTCTGAGAGGTTGTTGTTTTTTTTTTCCTTGTGGTGCTGGGGACTAAGCCCAAGGCCTCATGCATGCTAGGCAAGCGCTCTACCACTGGGCTATACTTCCAGCCTGAATTTTGATTTTTTAAATTGTCATGTTTTAGAACCTGACAAGACTTCCAGATTAGTTGTCTGCATTTTCAGGATAAATCTTTGCTGTTTTTATTTCAGGGGTCCTAGGTGAGTAAGGAGTTCTAACTCCCCTCTGGCCCACAAGCAGGGAACATATCCAGACAGCAAATGGAGGGCAAGACTGCGAATTGGCCACTGTCACTGGGAAAGGGTAGAACTAAAATGGCATTGATTGGCACTTACCTACAACTTCCCATGCTCGCTTGTAAGCTATTTTGAATAAGTTTGCCTATACACATATCTTTGTTTTTTTAATACTAATTATTCTCAAGTTACTTTGCTAGTTTGCCCTTCTCAAATGTCCATTTATCAGTAGGAGGACAGGAGGTGACAACCAAATGGGAAACAAGGTTATCATCCCAAGTTAGAAAACGTATTAGGAGACAACGCCATCCTAATAGCTCTCTGTTTTGCATTTCCTGCCTCACTTCTGAGGGAAGCTGGCTCGTCCTGCTCTGTTGGATCCGTTCCTCTAAAACCAAAAGATAAATACTCATCCTTTTTAACACTGAGGCTGAGCGAATTGGTGTCGGAGTAAAGCTTAAGATCTCTGACTGTGTCTTTATGGTGTTTCTGCGAGCTAACATTGTTCATTCTTGTTTTATAGACGTGCCCAATGGGTTTCATGTTAACTTGGAGAAAATGCCTACAGAAGGAGAGGACCTGCAACTGTCTTGCATAGTTAACAAGTTCTTGTACACAGACATTACTTGGATTTTGCTGCGGACAGTTAATAACAGAACAATACATCACAGTATCAGCAAGCAAAAAATGGCTGTCACTAAAGAGTATTCCATTACTCTTAACCTTGTCATCAAGAACGTGTCTCTGGAAGATTCGGGCACCTATGCCTGCAGAGCCAGGAACGTCTACACAGGGGAAGAAATCCTTCAGAAGACAGAAGTTATAATTAGAGGTGAGCACTGCAACAAAAAGGCTGTTTTCTCTCGGATCTCCAAATTTAAAAGCACAAGGAATGATTGTACCACACAAAGTAATGTAAAACATTAAAGGACTCATTAAAAAGTAACAGTTGTCTCCTATCATCCTGATTTATTGTCACTGTTGCTAACTTTCAGGCTCAGAGGAGATGCTCCTCCCAAAATGAGGTCGGAGATGATAAGAGTAATAATGAGACCCCCCAGCTGCCAGCTCGGGGCTCCCGTTGGGGCCGAGGGCTCTGCTCTCTGGGGCCGACTTGGTGCGCCTTTGGATTTGGAGGATCCTGCACTGCTTCTCTGTGTTTGCTATTGCTGTCTTCTCCCGCCTGATAAACAACACCCAGGACTGATCCTTCCCTTCTACTTTGATGCCAACCTCTTTTTATTTTTAAGTTGTGAAGCTGCACAAACTGAATAATTTAAACAAATGCTGGTTTCTGCCAAAGATGGACACGAATAAGTTAATTTTTCCAGCTCAGAATGAGTACAGTTGAATTTGAGACTCTGTTGGACTTTTGCCTGGTTTTATTTTGTACTATTTCATCTGCTCTTGATTTGTAAATAGCACCTGGAAAGCAAGTTATAATGCTTATTTATTTGAAAATGCTTCTTCTTCTAGTTCTTAAGTACATTGATCTTAAACTGGAGTTTCTAAAATGGACCCCTGGGTGCAAGACATTGTGTTGTGATTCAGAGAGTAAAGCTTTGTCCCAGCCTGAATTATGAAAGTTCACCCATGTCAACACAGCCCCTCTCTTTCAATTCCAGGTAACTAGTACCACAGTGGTGAGTCCAGCGTAGCTTTCCTCCTCCTCCTCATTGTCCCCAGCTGGACTGACAGCCATTGACAGCACCTGAAACTACATCGTGTTTTCAAGTTAAATGTTTGTGTCCCCTGGGTATTCCTTTAAAGAACTTCATCATGTTAAAATGATGACTTCAAATGAAATTTGATGAAATTCAATCAATTTATCAAGGAAATAAAGACTACTGTGACCACAGATTTAAAGCATTCTTCTAAATATCCATTGAAAATCTGTCCCATTAAAAAAGTCCATTTTCCCCATATGTAAATGTTAATAGGATTTTTATGGGGATTAAGAAATGGCAAAACAACAGAAGTAGAATTGAAGTCATTTTAAAATACATGCCATTTATTTTTTAAATCAAGAGAGATTGTGATCTCTTGTTTCAATTACATTTGAAGGAAGCATGACTTTTTCATCAACTTAATATGCACTGTTCTGTTTTAATTTAAGATTGATCATTGTGTGTGACTTGCATGCTCTGTGGGGAGGGTGGGGGGAGGTGGAGGGGTGTACTATAACGACCAAAATAGCCATGGCCAAGAAACACAGTGGCTAGGCAGTTCAACAGGAGGTGACAATATGACAGCTTTTCAAGCTTGGGAACTCACCAGCCTGTTTCCTCTTTTAGGTAACAGACTCTGTCCCACGGCTAAACTTGTCTTTCACGTGGGAATTGCTTTTGTCAAATGTGAAAGAGTAAACAATAGCATTTCCCCTGATGCCAGGTTTATGGAGTCCCAAACGCTCTGAAAACAATCAGCAACCTGGAAGTTGTCAGCCCAGAGGAAAGAATAATCAATTGTATCTTGAAATTTTACCTATGGCTCCTTGGCCTGGCCTCTTTGTTCATTATAAGGCACTGTGCTCCTTCAGGGAACAATGTCTAGCGGCACAGAACTTGGGGGCCTCCATTTTGGGGAAAGCTAACAAAGTAAATGGAATGATTCAGGGATCCCTTATGAAAAAATGATGAATTGGACATGCAGAACCCATCATTTCCCTCCCCTTACTGCAATTTTTGTAGGGAGAGGAAGGTTTTAGTATTCCAATAGATGATTTTAGAGTAATTATGTAATTAATCCTTCCAGAAAGATTCTTACAAAGAAACAATGGAGTGAATTTGATTAGATCCTCTTTGGGGGATGAAGTGAGGTGAGGATAAGAGAGGGGAAAAGAGCCTGGGGTAGAGAATAATCGGTGGAGTAGGGGTATGAGGCTGGCTCCTCAACCCCCATTCACAAGGAAGAGAAAAAACTATGCATTTATGGGGCATGGCAGCAATCTGGGGCCATAGGGCAGAAAAGGAAGAGAGGAACCTAGAGGACAGCTATCTTTGGTTAATGATAACCAGCAGAAATACTCTGTTAATTACAATTTTCTCCGCTTGAAGGGACCAGCTACACTTTGTTAAATTTTGGAAAGCAGGTGTCTACTTCTACCAAGTCTATATGAGTTCAATGCGCCTTTCTTATTTAAAATGTCAAAACAGGTTATTACAATGTGCAAAGTAGGAATTAACAAAATATGATTCCTAAGTCGAGTGGTCATTTAGAAAGTAGCTAAAAAATAAGACACTTGACATAGGAGAACATTTTTTTCAGAAATAAATCCTAATACTGTGTGTTTCATACTGTTTATGTGAACCTTGTATTTAATTGAGAGTTTATTCTGCAGGGTTTTTTTTTTGCTGCTTGTCTGAAGTTTGTGCAGTACAAACAGGACCTTTGGGAATTCTTCATTTATGTTAAAATAAAATGTTCTTTTTTACATAAGCATTATTTACCAATATACATGTCAGGGAAATTTAAATTCTGTCTGTGTTAATGAAGTTATAGATCGTAGTTATGAAAATAATTTGGGTGTTACAGGCCCTTTGAACTTCCTTTTTATAAGGCCTGTGAGCAATGAGAGATTGTTTTATCATATTTATGCATTGGAAATAGTAAAATGTGCTGGAGGAAGATGTTAAGTTTTAAATGGGATTTGTCAAATTTGACTTACCACTGTAAAAGATACTAAATAGTAATATGAAATTGTTTTTGCTATCTTGTCATGTTTCACTGATATTCTCCGAGTCTTTACTGCTTTAAAATGTCAAAACTATAAAGAGCAAGTATGCACAAGTTAGCATAAATTGAAGGTTTTATATGGGCTGTATTTTCAATTAGGAAACACTGTTTAACAGATTGCACAGAATGCAAACACAGAAATACCACAATGGTTCTGCCTATGGGAGAGAGAAAGGACAGGGAAGACATGGAAAGAGGCAGAAGAACCACTGCTATCATTCAGTCTACATTGTGTTGAAGAAGGTTTTATAAATTAGTGCACTTTCTTCAACACTCTTTTCTTGCCTTTAGATTTCATTTTGCATAATGAGAAGAGTAATGATAAGCTACAGAAATTAAAATTTATTGAACATCTGTTTCTCCTAGCTGATAGTAACCATACCACATTACACTACTTCAGCATGCTATAAAAATTATATGTTGATAAACTTTTTAACCTGGGATTTCTACATGGCTTTAATGAATGTTAATCCTGAGAGTTTTCCTGCAGGAATTTAAAGAGAAAGGTTTGGGGACTCAGCAGAATCCTTCAGGAGCATGGAATGAAAGCCATTGCACTGTACCATCTTTTGTAGCTTTGTAATCACTCCTAGGCTGCTTTCACAGTGTTAGCTCACTAAGGTGAGGAGACCAAAACTGTCAGAGAACGCTCACACTGTAGAGTTGAAACCAGTGATGCAAAAATGTGTAAGTTATGCCAAAACTTTTGATTTCTGTTTCAGGATTTGCAACAAAAGTGGGAAGGGAGGATTTGGGAGGGTGAGGAAGACATTGAGAGATGTTTTTGTTCCTTTATCCTGAGCTGGAGCTACCCATCCAGTACCCACCTAACTAGAATGTACACACATCAGCAGGACTGACTGACTACTTCATTAAATAGAGACACTGTACTCATGGGGGCAGTGGGGTACTGCTTTTCCGATGTGGGATTTTAATATTGTAATGTATTGCATCTTAATGTATTAAATTCATTTTGTTGTACTATATTGGTTGGCATTTTATTAAATAAATTGTATTGTATCATATTTGTATGTTTTAAAAGAAAATAATATAAAATACAATATTTGTACTATTATATAGTGCAAAACCTATAAATCTGTGCCTCTGCCTCTTGAATGAATTCTTTGGTTGCTTGCATTTGGAAGGGAAAGGAAGAAGGGAACAATCAATAAAGCTTTCAAAACTGAATTATTCTCCTGTTTGTTCTGCTGCCTTACAAATTAGGTGACAGACCCATACAAACATACCCTATAAATAAAAAAAAAATACATATGAAATTGGTCTGGGGGTATAGTTCAGTGGTAGAGTGCTTGCCTAGCATGCAGGAGTCCCAGAGGTCAATCCCAGCACCAGGTAGTGTGGGAAGGGGCACCTGAAATTATATCATTACAACACTATATGTGAAAGTAAAAATTCATTACAAGCCTATATAACAAATCATGTTTTTCATTTTTAGCTCCTAAAATAGTATATGGAAATCCTTGCGATTTAGAAAATCTTTTCTTTCTCAAAGAAAAGAAGAAGAAAATAAAGAAGGAGATGAGTTGACCAGAAAAAAACCTTTGTATCAAAATCTAAACATATAAAAACTAACACAGTCCTTGATTTTACTGTATTCTAACACACTGCAATTTATGGTAGCATCTTAGTCAGGAGGAAGCTGTAGGTTAACTATTGAAAAGAGAGGGAACAAAATGCAACAGAAACTTTAGGGTCAAGTTTACTGTCTCTAGATGCATTTGAAATGTTGATGTGCATATTCAATGGAAGAGTAAAGTTGACAAGTAATAACAACTCCTTCTTTTTTTTAATAGATCAGGAAGCGCCACACCTCCTGGGAAACCTGAGCGATCACACAGTGGCCATCAGTGGGTCTACCACCTTAGACTGTCACGCTAATGGGGTCCCAGAGCCTCAGATCTCTTGGTTTAAAAACAACCGCAAAATCCAACAAGAACCCGGTAAGAAATATTTTTCCTGTACTCCTGTTTTTCTTCTCATCCTTCCTCAGCCCTTCTCCCTAACTCTCCTATACCTGCCTCCCTATACCTAGAACCACTTGCTGATGATAAAGCTGCAAAACTTGGGCTCTGGTTCATGCTTATATCAATGTCCAATAACTTGGGCCAGTTCTTCTACAGCTCAAATTTCTTACCCTGTAAAAGATTCCTCCAGAATCTAAACAACTGCTTTAAGCAGTGTGTTGAGAAAGAAATGAGAAGAGCCACCTAGAAAATGACTCAGTTCACCTTGACAGCTGGGAGAGTGGGCTGTTTATTTCTTGACTTGAAACACTGCAGAGCTCTGAATGCCTAGCATCTATGAAGTTCAGAAAAGTAGATTTATAATTTTTTATTTTATCTGTACTAATTTTAATAATTTGGAAAATGGAAGGCTATTTGAAGTAATATTTTATCATACCGGTAAAAAAAAAAAAAGACAAAAACCTTCCTAAACTAGTTGTCATGGGCTTACTTTCTTTCAACAATAAATACTCTTAAAAACAGCTAGATTTAAACCAATAAGTGTAAACACTGCCTATTGCATGTTTCATAATGCCATGGTTAAATAACATGAAGTCAAATTTATATTTTAGATTATTTTATTTATAGTAAAAATAAGATTGCCAGTTGCTTGGCATGCACAGGCCCTGGGTTCAATCCCTAGCACTGCAAATACATAAAATTGTCATTTATTTGCAATATTCTCACAACATAAATCAAATAATTTGCAATATGGAGTAGTCCTGAAAAGTGAGTCCTATACTCTAAATGAAGCCTCCATTTTAAATCTGATGCACAGGATGAGGTTGTGAGGTAACAACTCCAAATTTTAAGATATTGACACATGTCCTAGGAAGGCCTTACACTCCATAAGTCCAAAACCAATCATCACTTTCTCCATAAAGTAGCACTTCCTCGTATACTGACGACATACACTTAGTCATCCAAACTAGAGCGGGACAGCCTTTCCTTTGCCCTCCTCAACTAAGCAGTCACCAGACTGAGTAGACTATCTGTATCAAACTCTGTTTCCCAGACCCACCCCCACCTCTGCTTCTCAGGTGCTCATTAGCAATCTTCTGAACATCTGCAGTCATCTCCCGACCTGTGGCCCTCCCTTTCTTTCTTATGCACCTATTCTCCACACAGTTGTATAAAACACAACTGTGACTGTTGCTTCCCTGCATAAGTCCCAGCAACTCCCATCACACTGTCGGATACACTCCAAGCATCTGACAGAGAAGACCCAGGACAACTGGCCCTGCCCACTGCAACTCTGCTCTAGCAGTGTCCAATCCTGCTTCGGCCCCCTAAGTCATTTTTATCCTTGTGTCCCCTCTGCCTCGAGTACCTTCCCTCTGTGTGATGCCTGCCCATCCCTGGAGAACCGGATTCGGAATCCTACCTCCACAAGGCCTTCCTCAGCTCCCACAAAGAGGAGACAGATCCTTCATGAGTCTTTAGTACTTATGAAGGTTTCGTTTAAAAAATATATAATTATTTATTCATATGTCTGGTTATCTATCTATCTATATATTTCTATTGCTCTCTTCTTATATTGGTTTTTATTCAACAGTTGATTCATGTTTCCCTCCAAAGGACAAAATTCTTGTCTTACTTGTAGCTTATCTTTCCATCCTTAGAACCTAGCACTGTGCTAGGTAATTAATCAGTGTTCCGTGAGTGAATGACTGGTTTTCAGAAAACCATATGCTAGCCTGGATTTGGAGTGGAGCTTATATCACAGAATTTTTAAAGATGAAGAGACCTTTGGAATACCTTTAGTCCAGTATGGAGACTAGAAAACCTTGTGCAGAGAGGTAAAGTGGTTTTACCAAGATGGGTAGTTCCATGGAAACTGAATCCCTTGAGGTGTTCTACCAGAAGAAAAGCATGAGTGGTTCATGCTCGTGAAAGGTTGTGCAGGACTCCTTCCCTTAGAGACTGAGCATAGAAGGCCCAAAGAAATCCTTTAAAGAAACCTGGTAAACTGGTTTTAATTCTGTGTTCATGATCATAGAATGTATTTTATGAAATATTAATGTAAGATGTGGAGTGGTTCTTTGAAAGAAGTAAATCGTAACTACGTTTAGTTTTCATACCTTGGGTGTGGCTTAAGGCATCAAAGTTGAACCAATATTTAAAACTCATGACCATTACAGGACTCAAGGGAAGACATGGCAAGACAAAAGGCCCAGGCTACAGATGGCAAAGGATTAGGAAGTGCTAAGGGTATCAGGGCACGAGGCCCAATGTCATCCTTGTGGGTTATGTAAGAATTTTGGCAACTCACTTCATCCTCCTGTCGGAGTCCATATTTCCTTATTTCTAAAACTGGAGTGCTGCTGATTGCACAGGGATACGTTGAAGTTTAACTGGGTGAAGAGAACCAAGCTGGTCCATAGTCATGGCTTTGTAAATGCCACCTCTGACTCACCTCATTCATTTACACAGAAATTGGTCTAAAAGTTGTCAGAATTCACGCTAAGCATCAGCTTCATAAGTCATCTCCAGTGTCAGACAACTCTAAAACAAAATAAGAAAGATTTCGTCCCTGGAAAAATTTTAAAACTGGTCTTGTATAAATTCTCATACAAAATCTTCTATAAACATCACTTCAATACACTACTAGTGCTTATTAAGCTTAACTATGCTAAGTCATCAAATTTTTCCTCTCTCTTTTCTCTTTATTTACTCTTTAAACCTGTGATAGCCTTTTGGAAAGGAATTCCTTAATTTTTTGGAGATAACATTTTACCTACAATATACTTGGTGTCTGACTTTGGGTTTCTTAAATGCAGTGATCTTCAAACTGCCAACTCTTTTGTGGCTATTTCTTTTACAAATCCATGAATAACAATTAAAGGTAACCAAGGGATTGTGCTTGACTCACTAGTTTTCCAAAGTGAGAAGACCATCAAGCTCAGAGCCTACAAAGATCAAAAACTTGTTCATTTTATGCTAAACTGGTAAGCCAGACTGAGTTTAAAACCCTGACAATAAAGTGTGCATCCTTCAGAGACCTGGGATGCCTTTTTTGTTGTTGTTTTTTGTGGTACTGGGGTTTAAACTCAGGGCTTTGTGCTTACCAGGCAGGTGCTCCAGCCCTTTTGCTCTGGCCATTCTGGAGGTAGGGTCTCACTTTTCACCCAGGTCAGCCTAGACTACAATCTTCTTATTTTAAGCTTCCTACAATAGCTGGGATAACAGATATACACCATCAGACCCAGCTACTGTTGAGATGGGGTCCCACAAACTTTATTTCCTGAGGCTAGCCAAGAACTGTGATCCTGATTTCAGCATCCCAAGTAGCTAGGATTACAGGTGTGAGCCACCAGTGTCCACTTTGGGATATCTGTTTTATAAAACCTGACAGCTCAAAAAGGACTCATATGCCAAGAGAATTTTAGGGGCCTTGGGTCATTCATAGGATCCGTCCCACTGTTGTTGTTAAATGATAACTCACCCCCATTCCAAAAAAAATAGGAGGGAGGAAGCAGTGCACATGTGCGAACTCTCACTCTAGTGACTAAAATAATGCCTGCTGAAAGAGAGAACCTGGGTCAGTTGGAGCTTTTGCCTCCCACCCCATTTCCTCTCAGGAAAACTCTTTCGGAGGGACACAGCCCTTCTCCCAAAGAAACGCAATCCAAGAAAGTATTACGAAAGCTAGTAATAAATTCTTGGGCCAGAGGAACCAAAGGGATCTTAAGTGTGCAGGCCCAGGGAAATGCAGGAGCAGGGGTTAGAGAGGCAATCTCTGTCAGGGCAATGGAGACAGAAAGAGAAGGCGCCCAGCAATCCACACTGCCTGCCCTGACTCTTAGCACGCACTTCCCGTCATTCCCAGTGGCCTATTCCTCTCTCTGGCCTTTTGCCTCTTCCCCTCTCTACTCTCTGGGCCGCAGGCTGCTTCATGTCCTGCCTGACAAACTTTCCTTTCCCTTAGCTCTACTTTATCCCACTGTAACTCTTGTCATCAGAGATCCTTCTGTCACATTCCAGGACTGGATACTCCTCTTCTTCCACATCAGGGGCTGTTTACAAGTCATGCCATAGAGCAGCACTTCATTGCTCTCTAGTTTTCTGTGTGCTTATTTTGCAAACCTTTGAAGATGCATATGATATCTTAATATGCCTTCTTAACAATAATCATAAAATTTACCAAGCATTCATTAGGCACCAAAGACCTGTGTTTGGTATTCTAGGAATGCCACATTTAATTTTTACATGTACCTCCCACAAGGCAGGTACTACTGTGAGACGCTCTTCATAGACGGATTTTACTTAACAAGCAGTAATTTGGTGCCCAGGACTACGCTAAGCACTTTACTAGTATGCACTTGGTTCTTCCTCATAACAATCTGATGAGGTTTACTAAGTTATTGTGCCCATCTTATAGACTAAAGGATGAGGAGATAACTAGTCTCTGGCCATCGAGTTAGTGGGCTGCAGACCAAGGTCAGCCCTGAAGTGTGCACACTGATGCCGAGAACGTGGAACTAAACTTTACCTTCTACCCCTCACAAGAGAACCCAGAAGCAGATTTTTAAATGGCCTGTGTGCCCATGCACATGTGCCTAAAACAATGAATATCTCCTCATTCCTAACAAGTTTTTAGCATATGTAGCATTTGTAAAAAGCTGGATATGCCTTGTATAAAATTGTTTTAAAAATTGTTTTTAACCCAAATCTAATGAGTTTTAAGTTTTAAAAGGTCCAGAATTCATGCCTTATCAGCCCAACACACATTTATTTTCCTATTTAACAAATATTTATGAGGTACTACTTTATGTCTGGTGTTGGGTTAGGCTCTGCAAATACAGCAGTGAACAAGAAAAATTAAACTCTGGATAAGCAAAAATCTAATGGAATGAATTTTGTACCGCTTCAATGAAATGCATCTTCTTCAAGTGGTACCCATGTGTACCTTGACTTAGTCACTATCACTGTGTCAA